TTGGGACTTCAAGTGGAATACAAGATTAATGGTGATATATTTGTTAACCAAGCCAAGTATGTTAAGGATCTTATACATAAGGCTGGGATGGATGATTGCAAGCCTTGTGCAACACCTTGCAAACCTCACAATCAAGTTCTTACTACTGAGGGTACTCTTCTTTCTGATCCAACACACTATAGAAGTTTGGTTGGAGCATTGCAATATCTAACCTTCACTAGGCCAGATATTGCATTTGCTGTTAATACTGTTTGTCAATATATGAACTCACCAACAGATGTTCATTTTGGTATGGTTAAACGTATTTTACGATTTCTGCAAGGGACTCTCCGTTGTGGTCTTACATATACATCAGGGACTTCCATGGCATTGTCTGCATTCAGTGATTCAGACTGGGCTGCTGATCTCAACACTTGACGGTCTATCACAGGATATGTTGTTTATTTGGGGGAAAATCCGATATCTTGGCAATCAAAGAAGCAAGCTTCTGTTTCAAGGAGTTCTACCGAGGCAGAGTATAGGGCTCTTGCACATACAGCTGCTGATATAGCATGGATCAGGCTCATTCTTCGAGATGTCCACCAGTTCCTGTCTTCACCTCCCTTAATTCATTGTGATAATCAGTCGGCCATAGCACTTAGCTTGAATCCAGTTCAGCGTTCTCGGATCAAACATTTGGAAACTGACTTCCATTTTGTTCGAGAGAGGGTATAGAAGGGTGACTTGGTGATTCAATATGTTTCAACAAAAGATCAGGTTGCTGATGTTCTCACGAAAGGTCTTCATGGTCCTGATTTCCTTCACCATTGTTTCAATCTTAAGCTTGCCTATCCCAGCTAAGATTGAGGGGGGGTATTGGATATATATGCCAGGTGTATTGGATATGATGATAGGTGTATTGAATGTATGCTAGGTCATTAAAGACTGCCACATCAGCAGCAGCTTAGGACATAGACCATTGTTTGGTGAACCGCCTATATAGAGTAATAGCTCCTTGTATTAGATAAGTTTGGTTGTAATAACAGTTTTTTGAGATATCAGAAATACATCTTTCTTCTCCTCTAAGCTTCTTCGTGCTTTTCAATTCTGCAATTCTTTCATGAAGGTTAAGAGAAATTGCAGATGGTTTCGTTAAAGATTGTCTTTGGTAAAGCGTAAAGTGGGAAAGAAAAGCCATGAAATTGCACCAACTCTGCTAAATCATAAGGGAGCGACGACGAGGACGGACAAAATGAGGTAAGGAGAGAGTCTTATTTTAACTAAATAAATTATTATATGAACATAATATGCTTTTTAATCTCTTAACATAATCATAACAATTTCATATAAAAATTTACCAAACACTCAAACACTTTTTTATTAGTTAAAAACACTTCTACAAAAAAAACAATAACCAAACATTTAGTTATTTTACAATTATTTATTCTCACCACAATAAAAGCAGTTTTTTAAACTACTTTATTTTACAACGGCACAACAGGTAACAACACAACAGATACAATATTTTTTTTTAAATCACATCAATACTTGCTTAGAAGAAGCGGCTGGAATAATTGTTGAGCATCTGCTTCACAATGATCTTGTACGCTGTTTCGGTTGGATGGTAGCTGTCCCAAAAAACATAGTTAGAGTCATCTGTGCAGACATGTTGGAGCTGATTGCACAGTTTTGTTACTTCAATAAGGCCAGTACCACAACACCCTTTATTCGCAACTTCAAACCCTGCCGGCATGGATCGACACAAACATATAAATCTTTACTAATTTATAAGACATGTAATGGAGCTAGCTAGGCAGAGTAAATGAAACATCGTACCGTATTTAGCGGGATTTTTTATGATATCGAGTAGCGGATTATAGATGTCAATGTAGACCACTCTCGAGTTTGGTAGGTTTTTGTTAAGGCGATCCATCTCCACATTGAGCTTGGAATTGAACAGCTGGCATGCTTGGTTTTGTCTTTCATCACAATCTCTTTCTATGCCTCCATTTACCGTTCGTTGTGATGGTACACATCCGATAGGTGGTGCACTTAGTACACCTATTCTTCGTACCCCCAATCCATACAAGTCCTACAAAATTCATAACTTTGCTATATCAATTAAATAGTGAAAAGATGCACATTTTTCATTTTTAGCAATTTGTATCACGAAAATACGCACCTTGACGAAATCAGAGGCATGTTTGAGCATGAAGTCGGTGTAAGAAGGAACGTCATACTCCAATCTCCTAGCACCGGTAAGAAAATAGGTATAAGAAATATCGTTGCTGCCGGCTACCACAAAAATTAGACTGTTTTTTATAATGAAGTTTGTTTTCTCCTCTCCAACAATTCCTTTCAGCTTTTCTATGTACTCCTTGAACTGTTTTATTTGGTCGGATAGCGATGCAACTACCTACACAATCGAATTCCAGAATTAATGAAGGAGGAAAAAATAAAATTAACAAAAGAATAAAGGATTAGAGCTTTAAATATATAGGTCATACCCCGAGTTTTGCTGTCAATGGATCATAACCTACAGCACCGTTAGCCATGACAACACCGGTAAGGAGGTCATTAGGCTGCAGGGTTGGATCCAAATATGCCGGCAACAGCTCCTTGATTCCGAATGCTTCCACTGGACATGAAAAAAAAATCGTAACATAGAGGAGGGTTAATTGAACATTTTATTGTATAAGAGAATATTTCGGAATATTTGGGACAAAATTAGAGATAAAAAGTATTATATTCTCGGATTTTTCACAAAAAACTAGGAGTTAGCGCACAGTTTTTTATCGGTTTTACGAAGTTCTACAAAAGCAAAGCCACAATGGCTACTAGTTAGTAATCTTTTATTAGTGTTTAATGGTAGTGATGATGATGACGACGATGATTGTGATGATGATCGTGATGACAACCTATGAAGTCTGAGGGAACCTTTCCATTGGAATATCTGCCGGTTGGCATTCCTCCCTTGAGGTCTTTTCCATAGGGTAAGAAATTGCAGCGTGCAAATGTCACGAAGTTTTTGTTGTTGTTGCCGGTATCAACAATTGAATCTCCGAATACAATAACAGCCGGGATAGTCACATTCTCCGGTAGCTTGACTGTTGCGGCTGCCTCAGTAACGTTACTCATACTAATAATATTGCAGAAGAAAATCACGAAAATTACATATGACGACTGCATCTGCAGCCTGATCAGTTTAGGAATAAACAGACCTAGTCCTCCTGCATCTGCATGCATTCTGGACAATTAAATCCCCCAGTTGTAGGTACACAAAAATAAATGATCGAAAAGATATGAGCATAAACTTGTGGGTCTTTAATTTCCGATTGTGAATTTATATTAGTTTTCGATTGTTTCTTGTGAATTTAATCAATTTATATGTGAATGTTTATTGTGTTTGTTGTGAATTTATATTAGTTTCCGATTGTTTCTGGTGAATTTTATATGATTGGCTGTTGTGTTTGTTGTAAATTTATACACAAAAAAAGTTGAGGTTGCCCACATCCCTCGTATAAACCATTTTATACACAAAGACAGTTGAGGTTGCCCGCATCCCTCTTATAAACCCTTTTATACACAAAGAAAGTTTAGGTTGCCTACACAAAGAAAGTTGGACTACATCCCTCTTATAAGTCTTTGCATGTTTGGTCTCACACGTCGTGTCGTCATTAGGTTTCATACGTGAGCTAACATGCTATGTTCCACCATTAAACTAATTAACGATATGATAAGTATTTCAATCTCTTATATGATTTAATCTCACACCAATGTGAAATTTTGTCCTCACATCTTCACAATATATACGTATAGATCGAGTCATAGATTTTTCTCAAGCAAGCTTCAGTCGATGGCGTCCATTTATTAACAACGCAAATAAATAGTCGGTTGTTTTAACTTTTTTCAACATGCAATAATTAATTTAGGTGGCTTAATAGGCTCTCCATACTGATACAGAGCTAAAAGATAAAAAAATTATTTTCTACATTAGAGAACAATTTTAATGAAAGTTTCGACAAATGTCTCATGCATCAGTTCATGCATAATGTCATTTTATTTTATTTTAAAATATACGATTCTAATATAACTAAGAGAAAGCAGGCTTTAATTAGGCTATGTTTTGAGTGAAATACAAATGAGGAAGACATAAAGCTAAACTTCGTTGATGGAAATAACATATATAGCAAGTAACACGATAGGGGAACTTCACTTACAAAGAAAATATATGATAAAAATCATCTAAAACAATAGTTGGTAGAAGTAGAAAGATCATGAATATAAGCAAACGTTACACATGAAGGAACGTTGGACTAGACCACCAATAATATGGATCATGATCTGTACAAAAAGTTAGCTAAGGCATCGGCTACACACTTGCCCTCGCGAAAAATATGGGAAACAAAAACATGCATATGCCTAACTGCCCACAAGCAATTGCTCCAATCAACATGCAAATACCAAGGAATAACTAGGAAAGTTTACGTAGTGAATCACCATAGTTGAGTCCGTCTCCAACCAAATGTGATTAACCTTCAAGTTCCAATGAAATTTAGGTCAAGTGAGAAAAAAACTACTTTACAAAGTTGTAGCGTTTGTTTAGAAGTGCTATTAAAGTGACTAAAAACGCTTTTGGTAAAAATGTTGTTTAGACCAATTCTGAATAAAAATACAAGTGAAACCTCAAAAAGCAGTTGAAGTGCTTCTTACGCAATTTGGCTGTTGTGGTAGTGGAACAATAGAAACTGGTTTATTGTGAAGCCAATTCAGTCCGTTCACATGTACAAATTTCTCTATATAATGTTTGTATTCACTTTCACCCGATCGACAGAAAGAGCTGCCGGTGCAGGAAACGTTGCTTCGCAGATTCTTCAAAAATATTTCAAAATTAGGTTTCTTGATGCCGCCCTCGGTATCTCAGTGGTCCCCACGTGTCAAACTCTCTATTGGTCTAATTCATATCGATAAACAGATCTATGCATCTAAACATGTTTTTGTTCCGAATATGTACGTGTGAATGATTTCAAGAAGCTATATACAATTCTTGTTTCTCTTGTTAATATGTCTGATTTGTTTGTTTCATATAACAAAACCATGTCGACCTAAATCCTAAAGAAACACATAACTCTTTGATCAACCTAAGTCCAGAACAAATCAATTTTACAAATTGTTATTCCAAGCAGGGAATTTGAAGGGTTTTATTCATTTGTAAAGATATAATGAATTGTTTCAGATGAAGTGGCTGGTATAATTGTCTAGAATCTGCTTCACAATGATCTTGTACGCTCTTTCGGTTGGATGGTAGCTGTCCCAGAAAACATACTTAGAGTCATCTATGCAGACTCCTGCAGGTTGGAGCTGGTTGCACAGTTTTGTCACTTCAATGGTGCCAGTACCACAACACCCTTTATTCGCAACTTCAAACCCTGTCGGGATGGATCAACACAAACAAATAAATCTTTACTAATTTATAAGAAATGTAATGGAGCTAGCTAGGTAGAGTAAATGAAATACCATACCATATTTAGCGGGGTTTATGATGAGATCGAGTAGCGAATTGTAGATGTCAATGTAGACCACTCTCGAGTTTGGCAGGTTTTTGTTAAGGTGGTCCATCTCCACAGAGAGCTTGGAATTGAACAGTTGTGATGCTTGGTTTTGTTTTTCGTCACAATCTCTTCTTATGCCTCCTTTTACAGTTCGTTGAGAAGGCACACATCCGATAGGTGGTGCACTTAGTACACCTATTCTTCGTGCCCCCAATCCATACAAGTCCTACAAAATTCATAACTTTGCTAGCTACATCAATTAAATTGCAAGGAAATGTACATTTTTCATTTTTAGCAATCTGAATCAAGAAAATACACACCTTGATAAAATCAGAGGCATATTTGAGCATGAAGTCTGTGTAAGAAGGAACGTCATACTCCAATTCCCTAACACCGCTAAGAAAATAGGTATTAGAAATATCGTTGCTGCCGGCTACCACAAGAATCAGACTGTTTTGTATGATGAAGTTTGTTTTCTCCTCTCCAACAATTCCTTTCAGCTTTTCTATGTACTCCTTGAACTGTTTCAATTGGTCAGATAGCGATGCGACTGCCTACACAATCGAATTCCAGAATTAATGGAGGAAACAAAATTAAAATTAACAAAAGAACAAAGGATTAGAGCTTAAATATATAGGTCGTACCGCAAGTTTTGCTGTCAATGGATCATAACCTGCACCACCGGCAGCTATGACAACACCGGTAAGGAGGTCATTAGGCTGCAAGGTTGGATCCAAATATGCCGGCAACAGCTCCTTGATTCCGAATGCTTCCACTGTACATGAAAAAAAAATCGTAACATAGAGTAGGGTTATTGAACATTTTATTGTATGTGTGAATAGTTATTCAGAATTTCTGGGACAAAATTAAAGATGAAAATTATATTCTTGGATTTTTCACATAAAAACTAGGGTTAATTGACCGGTTTTACGAAGTTGTACAAAAAGCAGAGGCTAGGGTTCAAAGTTTATTCCTAACTCAATTATCATAATAATACCAGTTAGTAATCTTTTATTAGCGTCCGATGATGATGGTGATGGTGATGACAACCTATGAAGTCTGTGGGAACCTTTCCATTGGAATATCTGCCGGTTGGCATTCCTCCCTTGAGGTCTTTTCCGTAGGGAAGGAAATTGCAGCGTGCAAATGTCTTGAAGTTTTCGTTGTTGTTGCCGGTATCAACAATCGAATCTCCGAATGCAATAACAGCCGGGACAGTCACATTCTTCGGCAGCTTGACTGTTGCAGCTGCCTCAATGACGTTATTCTTACTAATAATATTGCAGAAGAAAATCACGAAAATTACATATGACTGCATCTGCAGCCTGGCCAGTTTAGGACTAAATAGCCCTAGTCCTCCTGCAACTGCATGCATCTGGACAATATCACCAAGTGGCAGGTACACAAAAATAAATGATCTAAAAGAAATGAGCATAATCTTGTGGTTCTACAGTTTATATATGGTTAAGATCGAGTCTGGACCCAAAAAAAGTTCGAGCCATAGATTTTTCTGAAGCGAAGCTGTCAGATGGTATTCATTTATTAACAACCCAAATAAATATTTAGCTGTCAAAAATTAATGTTACTCTTATCATATTTTTTACATTATATTTGCACCACCTCTTTTAATAATGATGGGACTTAGATGTGTTGTTAGGCTCTACCTCAATTAAAGAAGTGATACAGATGTTATATGAAAAATAGAGAATATTTTTGTTCACCACCCTATTTATCAACGTTGAATGAGTTTAAATTTTGATATTTGTGTAGTGGATAAACAGAAATTACAAAATTTAAACTCATTAGGTTCGATTTCCGCCAAATATAAAATTGAACCACATTATTTTGACAAATTCATTGTAAGACTAAGCTCACTCCCTACCTTTAATATACATACAATCGTTTGCTCAAAACATAAATAATAACAATATACAATAATGTGCATTACCAGTATTTGAGATGGTAAGTGTAAGTGTGTAACGTCACTCTTCTTTGGTTGTTCTAAATTTCAACATGCAATAAATATTTAGGTGGCTTAATTGGGCTCTCCAGGCTGAGATATATAACTGACAAGATAATAAGAGCACCCCATCCCCCCGGCGCCCGACCACCCACCATGCCAGATATAAAATAATATTACAATTCTCAACTAAAGCATAATTTATGCATATGTGATTAAACTAATGCTATTTTACGTGTTGATGGCCGTCTAATCAATTAAAGAGGGAGCTCGATGCTTAACCACCACCACGGCGGCTCTTAATTGCTTGATGAGGAAGTTGTTTGGCGGGGGATCGTACCCTCTTGATATACAGTTGAGAATTCATAAATATCAAATCAATCAATGTTGCGCGTCACTCTTAATTATAAGCTCTACTTTAAAGATATGTGGCATGCAGGGCATCTGCTTGTAAATTTCGTGGTGTGGCTCTGCATGTGAATATGATGCAGTTGGAAGTTGACTTATAACTAAATGAGGATCGGTAGATTATGTGACACGTCTCGATCCTAATATTTTTAGAACATCAAGATAGGTACGTGCTAGCCGACATCCGAAGATGACGAAAATCATTTATTAAATACAAATGCTGATAACAAGAATAATTAAGACTTATAAATTTAGGAACGTGTTTAGAACATACAACTAACTAGAACACTAAAAGAAATAATATAAAATTGAATGAACAAAGGAATGGGTCCTACACCGAGATGACTCGAAAATGCAGATGCAGAAGTGCCTTAAAGCAGGGATTGTACGCCTCGATTCTAAGTCCTGAAGGGGCGCAAAACAAACATGAGTGGACGAAGTTGATATATATATATATATATATATATATATATATATATATATTGTTTGTACCTTACTTAGGGTCTCCGTATTTAGATCTTGTATAAATACTCAGGGGACTCAAATGTAATTATGTAATAAAGGAATGGGCAAATATGTAATAAGTGATGAACCCTTATTCTATAAAATGACCCCTCACCCTCACAATTAGGGAGAGCCTCCTCACTTCCAGAGGCCTCATTCTCACCTCACAAACTCTCTCTCCCCCACAATCCTCTCAGAGAAATACAATATCAGTGTGGACGTAGCCCAAACATTGGGGTGAACCACGATACCTCCTGTGTTATTTACTTCCTTGCAGATTCACGGTCGGATTTACGTTGTTCCAAGACCTCTCTGGTTTTGTGCATCAACATTTGGCGCCGTCTGTGGGAATCGACACGAAAAACTATGTCGGTTCTCTTTCATTTTTTCACCTTCACCGTGAATCTGCAAAATCTGCAAAAAAAAACCAAGAAAACCAAACACCACGCCAATATTCTAATTTGTCCTCCTCATTGCCAGTGCTTTTCCACTTACTTTCCGATCCACTTTCTCTTGCTTAGACTGGACTCTATCTCCTCTGCCATCCATAGCGTCTGCAAGCTTTCTCAAAGCGATCTCGTCCCTCTATTTCTCCTGCTCAAAGCAACAATCAGCAGCTAGAGCAAACCAACCACCCACATGTCTCTCCTTTCTCCCGACGATTCAAAACAGTACACTTCTCCTCTCTCAGCTACCCCTAGAGTTTCTCTCTCTCCAATGGCATTGGTGCAGAGCTACCTCTCTGCTTTTTCTTCCATAACCTCGTGGTATTCGACTTCGTTTTCTTCGCCGTCGTTGGCCTTCTCTTCCATCGCCACCACTACACCCGTTTCCGTCGGTAGATCGCCGTAGTGTCGCTGGAAATGCTACGGAGATGGGAGAATTCGCTTCCAACAGTCTGTATGCTGAGCGATGGTTCAACAGGTTGTTCCCGGAGCTACTGTTGTTTATGCTAAGGAAATGGAAAGGCTTTCCGCTAAAGAATCGCTTCTTCTCGCCACTTTTTTTTCTGGAGGCCTTTTGACGCAGATATTTGACTTTGAGCAGCGGAAGAGGCAACTAAGGTGAGGTTAAACCCACTTCTATTTTCTGAACTTCCCGGCGCAAGAGACGAAATAGACGGTGGATTTAGAGGACCGTCAACGCTTCCAGAAAATTTCGAAAGGAAAACAGTGTCCAAGTTCTGAATCACATCGAGGAGGGCAGGGTCGCCATTCCTAATCCTATTGAGCACGGTGGATACGCCAACGGGGTACTTTGACGGAGCTCTGGGAAGAATGAGCACCATATACACGGCGAAAGCCAAGATTCAAGCTACCCAAAATTCTGATGCGAACCTCAATTTTCCAACTAGGATGGTGGAGCTCATGGGTACTCTGGAGCAAATCACGAAGGCTGAGCACTTGATCAATGAAGTTCTTGTTGAGGCTGAATCAGGAGGTCCTGCCATAGCTTCTAGAAGGTAAACAATACAAGCTGGCGATGAACAATATGTTACAAAGATTCCTAACGACAAGGTTGGGCTTGTAATTGGTAAAATAGAAGGAATCAATCATGACGCTAGGAAGAGAACAAAAGCAAAAGCAAGTATGTGCAGGTGAAGATGTATGTAGGTGGAAAAGAAAAAAAAAAGACTGAGTGAGAAAGGTGCGGTGGAAAAGAGGAAAGAAAAAGTTGAATAAAGGAAAAAGAGGAAAGAGGAAAGCACTTGGATAAGTATACTGACCTTTCATCATGCATATTCCCATTTTGAAAAACCCATCCGGAGAACATGCAAAAGTATCAAAGTATGAAAGACCATGCCTACTGACCAAACCTGCCTTCACGTGAAGTTTTCCTCCAACAGCTGCACATGTTATCCCACTATCCAACTATATCTGGAGCAGCTGTTTTGAATGATGTAATTTATTTTTCTTATCTTTCGGAGACATCTGTATAAACCCCATCAGAGGGTAGTAAAAAAAAATGGCAAAGCCCAAAATAATGGGCTAGAATGTTATGTGGAGGGCGAAGGCCCATATGCCCAAAAGAGCCAGGTCCACTACTATCACCAACCATGTGATCACAAATACGCCCAGTACTTCAAAATTATTCGGCATCCTGCCTCTATTATCACCAACCAGGTTGATCAAAAGTATGTCTAGTACTCCAAAATTATACATGAACATTACTCATGTTAATCATACATAAACATTGAGCATCACTCATGTCAATCATACATAAACATTCATGACCATCATTCATGTCAACATTCAACATTCATGAGCATCACTCATGTCAACATTCATAAGCATCACTCATGTCAATCAACACAAACATTCATGAGCATCACTCATGTCAATCAGCTTCAAAAGCTTCATTTACAGAGCTCTAGCTTCAAAAGCTTCATTTACAAAAGCTCTAGCTTCAAAAGCTTCATTTACAGAGCTCTAACTTCAAAAGCTTCATTTACAAAAGCTCCAGCTTCGAAAGCTTCATTTACAGAGCTCTAGCTTCAAATGCTTCATTTACAAAGCTCTAGCTTCAAAGCTTCACTTGCAAAGCTTCACCTACAAAGCTTCAGTGCAGGGTATACAAATACCGCCTCCGAACAACTGCCACTTCGGCCCATACATGGATTCAATTTGAAGTCTCCAGCCAACAGACTCTATTGACCGAAGGCTTGGGGGACTATATTATGTACCATATATTGGGCCTTAACTGGGCCTCATGAAAAATACTTGGGGAACTTAGCCCATTCTTAATGTATTGAGGAGCGAGCCCTTATTCTATAAAAGGGACTCCTTCACTTTCATTAGAGAGCACATATTATTCATGTATTGAGGATCGAGCCTTTATTCTATAAAAGGGACTCCCTCACTTTCATTAAAGAGCACCCATTATTCATGTACTGAGGAGCGAGCCTTTATTTTATAAAAATAGATCCCCTCACCCTCATTAGAGAGCATCGCCACCAACTGAGCAACCGCCTCACCGCGAGCATCACTTCTAACCCATTATTCATATATTGAGGAGCAAGCCCTTATTCTATAAAAAAGACTCTCTCACCATCATTAGAGAGCACCGCTGCCTACTGAGCAACCGCCTCGCCGCGAGCATCAACTCTAGCCCATCATTTATGTATTGAGGAGCGAGCCCTTATTCTATAAAAGGGACTTCTTCACCTTCAACGCCACAAGCCGAGCAGCCTCGCAACATGTGCTACTTCTAGTTAAGCATCATTTCAGATTGAGCACCGCCTCATATCGATTAGCAGTCCTAGACGACATCTAGTTACTTCGGCCCACACATAGACTGAATTTCAAGTCTCCAGCCAAAAGACTCTCTTGACTGAAGACTTTGGGGACTACTGTTTGTACCATACTTAGGGCATCCGTATTTAGATCTCGTATAAATAGTCGGGGACTCAAATGTAATTATGTAATAAAAGAAGGGGCAAATATGTAATAAGTGAGGAGCCCTTATTCTATAAAAGGGACTCATCACCCTCACAATTGGAGAGAGCCTCACATCCCCTCTCATATTCAGAGAAGCTCATCCTCACATAAGGAAGCCTCTTCACCCCCTCATGCCACTTAGATTAAGAAGAGTTTCTCACCCTCAGAAGCTCTCTCTCCCTCTTT